TAATTCCCCTTTCTAAGACGGAAAATGTCTAAGACGGAATTATTTTCTGGCTCCCTTGCGATTCCGTCTTGCACAGGTTCGACTGCATTTGGATTTTTATACGTCGACGTCAAATGGATCGAACTCTAATGTAGAATCTAGATCTAGGCAAGATTTCGTCTAGATCCTATAGTCAGATCTACAGTACAGTCTACATGTAGATCTAGAATTTAGATTCTAGATTTAGGCAATCTAAATCTAGATCTAGAAAAATCTAAATCTAAATTTAATAAGCTTATATAGAGTGGCTAGCCGTAGGCCTACTTAGTCCAGATCTAAATCTAGCTGTACTTTGTTTAAGGCCCTATAATATATTGACCGAAGACCTATACAGGTCTCATTAGATCTAGAATCTAGATCTAGATATAGAATCTAGTAATTATTCAGGTTTAAAGTAAGTAATACTAAATCTAGATCTAGATACTTAAGGTATTGCATACTAAAATTTTATGCCCAGTTCTATTTCTCCGAATGCTCGGGAAAATAAACTTGAACTGTATTTCTCCTAACTGTTTCCGTTCTCGAGATTTTTTGGTTATTTACGAATGGAGTGGCCCTCGTGTATGTGTGTGCGTGAGAGAGAGTCTGTGTGTATGTATAATAAGGTGTGAAAGGTGTGGGGGCGAGGGCGTGGGGGAGTGGAGGTTTTTAAAAATAGTTTTTGCTTTAGGGGTGACTAAATGCAAAATAGGTTACTGCCAAAGTCGAGCCGTCTTGTTTTCTCGCAGTACTTTTGGAATTTGAAGGCATTTTCAAATGAAGTGTATAGCGTCCAGGAACGTTGCCCCAACCACAATTGAAGTATCTGAATATTCAAACGTCTAAAAATCTCTAGCTCTAGAAATTGAAGGGGGGCTCTCGTGGCCTAAAGGTTAAGGTGTTCACCTCTCAATAAAAGGTCCTGGGTTTGAATCTGGGTAGCGACCGAAAAATTTTCTTCTCTAAAAAATTCTCTAGCAATGTTCTGTCGTCTGCAATCATCTCCACTTTCTGCCCTCACCCCCTCACCTCTTTTGCCCCCTCTTCTGGGCTCCTGACTCTTTCTGCAGCCTTTCTACTGCTACTTCTTGGCTCCTTCTTACCGCTGTCTTATAGCCACACCCCTGATCTTCTGGTAGGAAAGATCTACACCTAACCTACTCAGACAAGGGCAAAAAATCTCGGAGGTCCCGTGTGCAAGTTGCGCGCGTTAAAGATCCCTTGGTGGTCTAAAATTTGTAAGAGTAGGCTTCGGCCGTCACCAAGGAAAAATTGAAAATTTCCTACCAACTGTAAATGTTTGGTGTTTCCCTCGCGCTCATAAGCAGCGGCCCCTTCCTGAGCGGTGTGTACTGAACTGTGTGCTCTGCTTCTCTCCCAGGGCCCCAAATACTTGCATCTCCACAGCGAGTTGCTGAAGTGAATGCCATAAACATCACCCCAGTACACTCCCCACATCAGCTTTTGTGATACCATTACAAAACTCAAGTGACAAGCCTTCAATTTTCAGGTCGCCTAGCCTGTGTTCCGAACCCCCAGCCTAAAAATAAATATTATTTCAACAGCCAGAGAAATTCTCTATTGTTTTTTTCCCTAATGTTAGGTTTCAAATGTTTTTGTCCTCAGGACATTGACCTCCTTGCTTGTCAGGATCATTTAAAGGTTGACTCATACTACTCATAGACTGCCCACCTGCCACAATGCCTTCAGCTCTCGTGTTTTTGGCTGAAGGAGCGGAGGAGATGGAGACTGTGATCTCTGTAGATGTTCTTCGACGTGCAGGGGTAAGGAATGTTCTTAGTGCCAAGTATAGCCAAGGTTGGGTTGATAACTCACTTGATATTACATGATGCAGATGGCTTTGGTTCAAGCCTTTGAAGCGTTGTTCTTGAACTAGAGAGTTGTTTGGGTTTTTTTCCAAGGTCTCTACCACTGTCCTCAATGGAATCAGAGACTGACATTAAATTCGTAGTTCGGGCCTCTTAAATAAGTTTAACCTGCCAAATGAGTGTTAAAACCCATACAGAGGGTGGTTGGAGGGTGTCACAAGTAGATCATTGATCATATCCTACATCTTTTCTTTCTCTTTGCTGCTTCTGTCCATCTTACTTTTTACCCCAGCACTAAGTGACCATTATTGTGTTGATGTGCTTCTCTTTCTTCAAAGAAACTAACTCGTACAATTAGGCTACTGATTAGATAGTACCGCTACTGAATACATTGCAGGCATGTATTCATTCTGCTTATTTTCTTTCTATTTCAGTATTTTAGGAAAATGTGGAATATTCTGTACCAGGTGCATTACATCTAAGTTGTAGTGGGGTTAACTGAGAGATTGCAGGTTTATCTTTTTGGACCAGGAAAAAGTATGTCGGAATCATCGGGATGTACAAAGGTGTTGAGGGAGGGAGGGCTAAAAGTTACTTTAACGCTGTAGCTATGATCCAAACCAATAGATCTAGTTGTTCTTTGTGTACTCCCTAGCTCGCAAAGGCAAACCATTTTTATCTTCTCTAGTATGAAAATGAAAACATCTTATTTGTTTGAGTAGATTGTCCGGCTAGAAGAGGTCTAGCTCAGTCATCTCTGTGACCTTTTCTACTTAAAAAAGAAAAATTACAGTAGAATCCTGTCAGAACGAGAGGGAGGGGACCGGAGCAAAATGTCCGTTATAGCAGGATTCTCGCTATAAAGGATCCAGTAATAAATTCAAGGGTAAACTGTAAAGTAGGCCTAATCTATGAGTTTGGTGTTCTGTTTATTTCCTTTTGCTATCTCCGCTGATGATGATTTTATTTCAACATGACCTCTAGGTCTTACTTGATAAAAATTCGAATCAGATTTCTTTTTCTAGCCCTAGATCTAGTGATGTTGACTGACGGCTCGCTGTTGGCGATCAGAAAGAAAGGTCTCTGGGCTAACCCACGCCACCACACCCTGTGGTGCATTCCGTCAGCTTGCGCACTTCACACATTCACTCCATCCATCACCTTGCTGTGACCTCTCCATCCCCGCATCGGAGAAGTGAGAGGCATGGTAGGCTTTAATAATCTAAACTAGGCTTACGCTGGCCTATCATGCGATGCGTTCTGCTTGTCTGCGCATGCCACACCCTCCCTACTCAGTTGTTCCGGCATTCATTGTTGACACACATGGACTCTCCCATTCTTTGTTCCGCTTGTTCACCAACTAATTTCTCAACTGACGAGGTTTTACATTATGTATAATTGGCCCATGCGCTGTGCACAGCAGCAGCAATATTCCGCTATAACAGACTCGCATGTTTGTCTGATTGCGCGATAGCAGTATTTTATTTACAAAGGTAAAGAAGAGAAAAAACAGGGTTTTAGAATAGTGTCTTTATAACAGACTTCTCGTTTTTTACGGACTCGTTATAAGTGGACTCCACTGTACATGTTTCTGGGTTTTTTTATAACACATATTTTCTTATTTTGAGCCTGTATGTTCTGGTTTTGTTTTCTTGTTTTTTTGTGGGGTTTTTTTGTTTAGTGCATTGTTTTCTGGATTTTTCTGGTTATTTTGTTGTATTATTTTCTTAATTTGTACTTTCAGATAGATGTGACACTTGCAGGCCTGGGTGGCGACGGTCCTGTGTTGTGCAGTCGGAACGTGAGGCTGGTGCCCGACAAAAACCTGAAGCAGGCGCTGTCAGCAGCCCCCTATGATGTGCTTGTTCTCCCTGGGGGAGGAGGAGGATCCAAGAAATTAAGCGAGGTAAAAGCAGATATTAAAATTCTGACTGGCTAGTGTTTTTACCTTTGAACTTGAAGCAGAAGAAGAAGTGTGCTGTTGCTGTTATAATGATAATAATGAATTGTATTTATGTTGCCCATTTTCATCTCGACGAGATGCTCGATATACATTACATTAAAATATATAATATGTACGGGAGAAATATGCATAAACGAGAAGATTTTTAAAACAAAAGAAACTACCCAAAAAAATTACACGTTTGCCATACTGGTACATTGGTAAAATCCACTATTACCATAAACATTATTTATATTATGGACATAAAAATGCAAATCAGTAGCTATGTAGCCTAAAATAGGGACTCCTCTATATACAGTGGGACTCGAATTCAACAAAAACTCGGGTTCAACGAACGGAAATGGATTCCTTGGGTTTTTTAAAAATTCATTAAAATCAATAAAAAATTATTTGGATTCGACGAACACATGAACAAGCTTGGATTTAAGGAAGTCCCTTTGCACAGTGAACTGCCTCCACTGGAGTGGGTTCACTCATTTTTCCACGACAACGAACCTTATCTATTCTTGGAAACCATCCATGGCACCTGCATCGTAAACCATTATTCACTTATTGTTAATTTCTTATGCGACCAATCAGCGACCTTCTTTCATACCAACACTTGCGTTGTTAGGTTCGGACGGGCTGCCAGCACACGTGTGACTATGTGTACACGTGTCTTGAGGGAGGGAGCACAAGCGGTCCGGGCATGGAACGTCAGTAAGAATATAAATGCATCACAGTCATTTTTTACCTCGGGCTATTGATCAAATTATATTGTTTTGACATAGATCTACATGACAAATTGTGTGCTGGTCTATGGAAGCGAACGTTGCCATATATGCAAGGTTCTACACAGCAACACAACTTGTTCGGCAAACAATACATACGTCATAGATGACACAAGTGTGCATTTGAACGAATATATGTCCTTTTGCTCAGTGTTTGCTTGGTGGAGTTCAGTGTATTTTCCTGGAATTTCCTAGCGTGTATTTTCCTGGAATTTTCCAGCATTTCTTCAGTTTGGCATGTTAATAGGGATCTATAGGCCTACCATTTCACCATTTTTTCAGTATGGCATCAAAGAAAGGAAAATGCCTCTCATTTGAAACCAAACTACTTGTGAATGAGGAAGCTGAAAAGGGGCTAAAAAGCAGGCATTAAAGGGCACGTCTTGTTACTTCCCTTTACACATTACCTGCTGGGTACCAGTATTGTCAGTAATGATCATCTACCCAAAAAAACACCTCTGTTTTCTGTGACAAACACTCAGGTTACACTTAATTGGAGCTCAGGCATAAAGACTTTGTTAAATCCAATTTTTCATATGAGGCATCGTTGTTAAATCAGTTGCTCATCAAAATATGAAGATGCCAGCATTTTTCTGCTGGTTTGGCAATTTTTAGCCTTTTATGTCTATTTAAAAATTATTTCTATGTGGGTTTTACCGAAAAGGGTTGATTAAAGGCACAATTAATTTAAATTTGCAGTTTCCAAGGACTCTCAAGCTATGGAAGTCACCAAATTTTGGCGGCCATTTTCTCGCTAATCTCGACTTCTCTGTCTCTATTCAAGGTGGATGGGTTTTTTCATAGAAAAATAGACAAAAGAACAAGCTTTAAGATAATGCTAATAACTCCACATGTAAAAAAATTGACACTTCAAAATACAATATCTCATCTTCTAGAAAAGATAAGTAAACTGAAAAGTTTAAAGTGCATAATAATCAGGAAGATTCCAGTTTTCAGAAGAGCACAAAGACTCAAAATGACCCATATAGGTGACATATCCCTGATTTCCTCAGACCCTCATTGTCTCGATTTAGTCCACTCAAAGTTAGTAATGATATTCATACCTGGGATCTACGATCGTCTCACTTTCCTCATTCCCCATATTATTCCCCTTCTTACTCATAATTTCGAAAAACTTACAAATCTAAATCAGAAAGTGAAATTTGCTGCTGTTTTTAACTCATTTTGGTGTTCACATTTTGCGAGAACATGCATCCGTCCACAAGACTAGACTTATGTTTATTGATCATTTGCATGCCTAGCAGTAAACTTATGCGAACAAATTTGTACCGATATGCACGTTTTTAAAATTCTCGAACAAGAATCCACACTGTGCTGTTGGCTAAATCTCCCTACAGAAGAATTAGAGCCAGATGTATAGCAAGATGTACATGTAACGTTATCTTGGCAACTAGGAACGACAAATTTTGCCAGTTTCCGTGACATCCATGGTGCGGCACAAAGCTAAAAATCACACGTTATTGTTACATACCGGGTACGTCATAAGGCAACAAAATGGTTAATACGTTTAAAACACATGGTAGTAGTCTTTAAAAAAATAATTCGCTTTTCGATAAGCAACAAGTGAAGCTCTTTAAGAATGGGTGGTGCGCTCTCTCATTCTATCTTCTGTTTCCTCATAATCAATGACTGCGTTGATTTGGATGGGCCAGAGAGGCAGAGGTAGACCAAGAATAACTTATTTTGAGAGCTTGAGCAAATGTATGATTTGATAATATGTTTGATTTGTATTGAATATATATATAGATTGTTATGCTACAAAAAAAAAATGTGCTTTTTGAACTTATTGATAATAATGTTCGTTTTGTGTTGTTTTTTGCAGTAGCCATAAATTATCATGTTGTTTGTTGTGTCATCTTGTCTGTCTTATCTTGTCAAGAAATTGTTTTTGTCATTGTTATAGTCAGAAGAAGTCAGAAAAGCCTTGCTGGAACAAGAAAATCGTGGTGGACTGATAGCAGCTGTGTGTGCTGGTAAGACCACTGCTGTTGTTGTTTCATGCCTGTTCCAGAGGATGGGAACTGTGGAGGAAACTCCTGTCATCACGGTCAGAACTCAATAGCTTAAGCCATTCTTTTAAAGGTATGATGAAAATACCTATTACTTGTTGTACATGATTCTCAATATAGCAGGGTTTGTTTAATGGGAGTGCTTATTTAAGCCACATAGGTAAGGGAGGGGGGTTTAGCTTATTAGGCCTAAATAAGGTAAAGGAGGGGGGTTTAGTTTATTTAGGCCACACATGCTCAAACTACCCTTTTCAGGCAACTGAGTTCGTTCCACTTTCATAATGGTGCACCTTTCTCATTTAGTACAGTTTTGTCTCAGTGTACAACTTACAAATCATAATCGTAATGAATATTGTAAGAACAAAGCACAATACGCAAAATTTTGCTCAATCCCAATGGTTTGAATGAGGGCCAGATTTTTCCTTCATGGAGGGGCAAAAGCTAGGCTACCATTTTGGCACACTTTGGTCAAGTGAAAAGGTCAAATCCTCCGAATGGACTTCCGGGTCAAATTTGGGGTATAAAAAGTGTGTACACAACGTGGCTGAGTTACACTATCTTTGCCTGAGTGGCACTCTCTCGTACTGTCTCGTAGTAGTACATGTAGCAGTAGTAGTAGCAAAGATCGTTTAGAGAGTCTTTGGTAGAAGATTCTATCTAGTAGGCAGTTTAGTGAACGTGCACGCGGCAGGGTGAATGGGCCTCGATAAGCCCCGTAGACCTTTGTGATTGGCCACGAAGCCTCGTGTTTTGATGGGTCTAAACAACTCAATGTTAATCGCACTGCCACATCCGACAGACCTACATCTTTTTAAAAGGAAAAGAAAGATCATCAAAATGGTTGAATTCGCGTGAAAATGGATTCGGTAGAACTGGAACTATTAAAATTTGCTTCTGAAAACAAGGCAATTTTTATAACTCGATGAAATAAACTACTGGCTGTGTTATTCTGTATAAATTCTGAAACCTCAGGACGTATTGTTATTATTTTCCTACATCTTTTGACGCCTGAGCTGTAGAGGTTGAAGTTTTCACAGCACTATAGGGCTTTCCGTAAAAAATGCATAGATCTACAAAAGCCGAACCACCGAATTGACCGGTCAGCGACCCGGGCACCCCGCTCTCCCCTGTACACTGTGATAACGTGTTACTTCGGTATCGCATTATTCAACTATTAATATGTGCGGCTATGGCAATTGGGATGTACTGACTGACAAAACAATTCACAGTTTTGTTTTTATTTTACCGTATATTTGACTTTAATAGTGCAGGTGATAGCTAGATCTAGATTCCCTGTCTAGAATCAGTAGTAGCAGGCCTATGCTAGAAGCAGCCAGAGAGCCTACAAATCTGCTAGATCTCATTGCAATCTAACTCATTGCTTTGCCTTTGGGCTTTGGAATTGAAATAAAATGAATTGCACAGTTCTAGTTAATTTTAGATTCAGCAACTAACTGTATTTCCAGAGTTAATGATAACAAATCTCACCATAACAATCACTTTTACTTTTATTAGAATAATTAGATCCAACTTTTTTTTCTAAAATCTGTTTTGCGCAAACTTAAGATTTTCTTTACTTGTAGAGCACAGAATTTACATTGTAAGCCTCTGCTCAGTCTTTCAGTATACATAATAAAATACATATAAATAGATCTAGATCTATATAATCATTTTATGTTATTTTCTGGATATTTTTGAAACTCCTTTTTTAGATATGTCATAAAATCAAATTGTGCCATTTTCATATAGCATTAGCAGTGGACTTTTCAGACAGCAAGTCTCTGATTCGATATTAAAAAAAAAAAAAATGCTAATCAATGAAAATTGCAAATTGATAATAGTATAGTCCTGTAGAGGATAGGTGGACTCCGGGGTCTGCATAGCGAAATACTAGGTTTTAGGATGTGAACCCCGGAGTCACCATAGTGAAATAAGGTTTGGTTTAAGTAAGGATTGGTGGACCCCGGGGTCAACGTAGTGATAAATAAGCAGGTTTAAGGTGGACCCCGGGGCCCGGGGTCTACCTAGCGAAATACTAAGTTTTAGGACAGGTGGACCCCGGGGTCACCGTAGTGAAATAAGTAGGTTTCTTTAAAGATTGGTGGACCCCGGGGTCACTGTAGTGAAATAAGTAGGTTTAATTTTAAAAGGATTGGTGGACCCCGGAGTCACCATAGCCGAAGAGGAATAAGAAGGTTTAATTAAGGATTGATGGACCCCGGGACACCTTGATTAAACCTACTTATTTTACTACGGTGACTGCAGGGTCCACCTATTCTAAAACCTAACTAGTATTTCGTTAGGTAGACCCTGGGGTCCACTTTAAACCTACCTATTTCACTACGTTGACTCCAGGGTCCACCAATCCCTAAAATGAAACCTAAATCTACATGTACTTATTTCACTACGTTGACCCCAGGGTCCACCAATCCTTAATTAAACCAAGATCTACTGATTTCACTACGTTGACCCAGGGGTCCACCAATCCTTAATTAAACCTAGATCTACTTATAATTTCACTACGTTGACCACGGGCTCCGCCAGTCCAACTATAAAATAAACTGAGATCTACCTATTTCACTATGTTGACCCCGGGGTCCACCGATCCTTATTTAAACCTAGATCTACTTATTTCACTACGCTGACTCCGGGGTTCACATCCTAAAACCTAGCATTTTGTTAGGTAGACCCCGGGGTTCTATCCTTTTGGCTAGATAGACCCCGTGATCCGCCTATCCACTTCCTTGATAATAACTGAAAACAATACATGCCAGTTGTCATGAATAGTGAAGAAAAATGTGAAAAAAAAGATAATGAGGTAAACTGTAATTTGTCCAAAAAATTGCAAGTGCAGGTGAAGATCAAAAGATAATTTTATTTTCTGGTCATCTTTTCACGGTTTATAAAATGTTCCAGTGGGCCTACTACTAGATCTATGTCTCTGAAGAACATTTTGCTTGACTTTATTAGCTTTTTTCATGTACCGGGTACTTGAAAGCATAGAATATATATAGTTTCACACAAATGTATGCACAAAACTTTGAAAAAGAAAGATAAAGTCATTGTTGTTGTGTTTTTTCTAACAGAATCCGTTTTATGTTGAGAAAAGTGCTAAAAACAAGTTTTAAAATTTTAAGAATGCCCATAATAATAATAATATTAGGAATCCGAAAAAACTACCTTGATCTAGTTGGCTTACTCTTTAATAACCATGAGCAGTTAAGAAAAAGAAAGAGAATGATATAGGATTTGTCTAAATATGACAATTAGCAATAAAAATATTGTCCATTTTGTCCAATTATCCTTGCAGGTAAAATCACCCTGCACTGTACCTCAATAAACACAAAAAGAATATTTCTGTGACTTTGTATAAAGGTGTTTTGTAGTTGAGTTCTATGTAAAATTCTCAACAAAATAATGTACATTTGGACCGTACAACGAGATAGACACTCATGCTCACAATAACATTCACACATTACACACACACACACACACACACACACATACAAACACACAATTACATTTACTCTCTCTCTCTAGATCTCTCTCTCCCCACAACCACACACAAAACAAACACAAACACACACTCACACACACTCACTCACACACACTCAATCACACACACACACACACACACACACACACACACACACACACACACACACACAACTCTTACCCTTGGTCCACTTTTCATTTAGTATCATCCTCTATTTTGAAATAATCCCCCGCACTAAATAAAAAGATCAGTAGAATCTCGACCTTCCGAATGCATGGTTAGTTCAAGAAATCTACCATATGATGTGGCCTAAATAAGGTAAGGGAGGGGAGGTTTAGCTTATTTGGGCCTTATGTGGCCTAAATAAGGTAAGGGAGGGGGGTTTAGCTTATTTAGGCCACATGTGGCCTAAATAAGGTCACCCTTGTTTAATATACTAAAAATGCTATTATTGAGACATTTTCACTTTTGCTCAAGCCACAAGGTTGACTTAGGTAAGGACTATGTTTTTTTAAAGTTTACCCAAAGCAAAAAAAAAGTATTTAGCTATTGCATTATGACCGTGACATTTTGTTCTGAGATGGGAACTGAAAATCAGGCTAGGGTGTAGTGTAAAGTTCTTCTTTGGCAGGGCCTTTTCCTGAAATTTCAATCAAGTCACTTTTTATCATGACTGTGCATCCTTGGACAAGTGCTGGTGTAGAAGTTTCCTTAGCAAATGATTGAGGATTCAGGAGGTATATTTCAATGAGCCTTCGTAATATTTTTGGAAATAATAGTATATATTTTTATATAAAGCATTTTTTTATTGATGAGGGCAAGAATCATTGCATGACAAAATACAACTGTTTTGTTTTCACAGTTTTATTACCAGCGGCTTCATATGTTCAGATTATGACAACTACACCCCTTCCCACATCACAGAATTCCTTTTGATTTAGAATAAATCCACCCCCGGCCCTTAAGGAAATATGTTGCTCATATTTCTATATATATTGAAATGAGGACCTTTCATACTTAGCTTAACATTGAAATTACACATTTGGGGGTATAGAGATTGACGAAAAAAAAAGATTCGAAACTCACATTTTTTACAGTCCTTCGCCGATAGAGGCTAATAATGGTCGCAGAATGATGAAAATTCATCAATTGAGAAGTTTTGCTCAATTAATTATGCTCCGATCTTCTTCAAATTTTGTGAGGATATAAAACAAACTAAGATCTAAAACTAAATCTACATGGATTTTCAAGTAAGCAATTTCAAAGATTTTACGGCTTCTACACTTTAGTGTACCCACAGTAATGATAATTTGAGGGGGGTAGGGCTGTTCAAAACATTTTGCTTAAAAAGTACTTTACATATTATCCAATTTTCTTGTGATATTGCACAACATCATAATAGACCTGTGTACAAAGTTTCATCCAATTTGGTTCACAAATTATTGAGCAATACGAATTTCTGTGGAAAAAGTTTGTGAATGAGAAAGTCACGAAAAACGACCAAAAAAGTCTTATTCACTCACAATTTCTCAATATTTTGTTCTCATTCTGTCTTGTGTGGTGTCAATTCCGGAAGCTCAAAAAGTGGAAAAATGAGCTAAACAGCGATACCAAACACTTCAGAGAGGGGTGCAGTGTGTTGTTTGAATTACGACGTTTCTTGGTTCAGTTTTTGAGTTGTTTTTCAACAAAGCACAAGAGGAAAGACCTATACCTACATATTTCAAGGGCAATTTATGTCTGGAAGAGAATTTTCTTTAGTATAAGTATAACAGATCATATCGATGCCCCCATGATCAGACCTCGTAGGTGCCAGAGAGATAATTTTCCAGGAGAAGGAAAAAACTGATTTATTTTAAAACTGCGTTGTCAAACCTCTTCAATTTCGCATAAACCACTCAAAACAATGTAACTAAATGAGGGTAAGTTACTTTTAAAAAATAGATATTGATTTTATTATGTTATGATGCTTACGAGCAATGATTACACTATCGTGGTTGTGATCAGACCTCGTAAGCGATGACTACTGCCGTTTACAAGGTTTGGTCACGGTGAAATGTTGGTAAAGTGCATACTCGTAAGCTACAATATTTTCGTATGACAGAAGAACCGACTTGAGTAGATGGTGGTCAGGACACCTTAGTGAGATCAGGGAGGTTAGGGTTTGATTCCCGCTGGGTTATAATTAAAACATTATCATTTGCAATCTCATGGCTACCGCACCATGCACTGGATACAAGAGAAGTACCAGGACTGGTTGCCCTTTGCCAGAATAACGAGGCTGGATGATGCGCGTAAATTGTCTAACCCTTCATGTGCCAGTTCAATAATGCATTTTTTTATTTGCTCATTTTACATACACTTCTTAAAGCATATGGAATTTAAATTTGAAAACAAAAGATTAAGTTATTTGTCAGCAACGTCAAATGAAAGAATAAAGATCATGCACATGGGAGAACTTTGGCACAGGACAAAGATCTCCAAAGTCACATACACACACACACACACACACACACACACACACACACACACACACACACACATACACACACACACACACACTCACACATAAACACACACAAACAGACACAGAAACATACGTAAATATTAGTAAAATTATAATGAAAAAAGTGATATTGAATAGAGGGCTATTTGCATGATAATGGCCGAAACATTGTGAATAAGATACTTCGTGGGGTGTCTTCTCTACGTGTCTTAGAACAGCATTTCTATTTTGTTACAGCAACCATCTAAAATAGATAAATCACTGTTTTACAGTTGGCTTCAATTCAAAGGTAATCAATGATTCATAACGCAAACTGGACGACAATTCACCCTCTTATGTCAAACATAGCATCTCACATCCATTGTCACCAAGTTATCTATTGTAAAGTTGTGCTTTAGAGACAAGGCGCCAAGAGAACAGACTGAAGGTCCATGGCGATTACACAGAATTTTACCGTTGTTGGCTGCAGCCAGTTTCTTATCGTTGACCTTTTCGGCTTGAGCTTGTGGCTCTTCTTCATTGAAACGATTCCAAATGTCATCACTGATTTTTCCGCCTGTATTGCCCACACACAGGTCGCACTGGCGCGTTAACAGACATATTTTGCTCATGGAAAATGCCCCTGAATATAGATGGCCAAATGCAGTTTTTGTTTTTTTGTGGTGACAAAGCTCAACGTACATCTGCGAAGTTCGCATATATATACTATAGAAAATTGGCTCAGTATACAACTTTCCTGTTTTGCTTTCGACAATAATGATAACTTACTTTGGATAATTATGCAAAGAAATCTTCAATAAGAAATGTTTTTGCGCCGATGCTTTCTGGTAGTGAGGGTTGTCTCTAGCGGCAGTGTCTGGGTAACGCTGTGTACTGGCAGTTTCATTGGTGACAGAAGTGTCTCGATCCACTACAATGCTCCTAATAATACACCAATCATCAATAGCTGAGGAACATGCTTTGCAAACACGCAGTTTTTGATGTTCTTCTTCCAAAAGATAATATTCAACATCTATTCATGTCTAGAGATGCCCAGGACTCTCTTCCGTTTTGGCGTTTAATGTATGCTGCTTTTCCTTCTCAGTGCAGGGGCCAGATATAATTGAGAACTTATTGTCTGTCACTTTCGGAAAGTTCTTTGCACTTCAACCCAGCTCTCTTGCATTCACAAGACCTTTTCTTTTCTCATACGGGTTTGTTTTTATCATTCTTGCTTGCATAAATCCGTTTGTTAGAAGTTCTGCTTCTGTTCTGGTGGAACGTTCTTCTATTGTAATTTGTTTTTAAAGTCAGACTGTCCTCATGATCTGGTTTAGATGACATATACTGTGGGGAACCAGGGCTAAGAGGGCAATGTTGCTTCCACAATGGGTGGCATATGAGCAGACAGATCAGGGGAATCTGACCAGAAACGGGATACAGGGTCGACCTTGAGTAAGACATGAGGTGACTGAACATATGGATTTCATAAGTGGGGTTTCAGAACTAATGCAGGCTCGGCAATGGGTGGTGAGTGACATATTATAGGGTGATCACATTGGTGAACCAGACGAAGCAGATGGTTCAGGATTGTCCGTAAGGGGTACAGATGGGTGTGGTGAAGCAGATGTCAGAAGTGAGGCCGATTTGACAGAAGATGAAGATTCGTCGATTATGACTGATACAAAACGTGTCGAAACTGGAAAACACAATGAATCTGGTACAAAAAGTAGATAGGGGTTGCTTTAACCACTCCTAAGCGTCGATGAACTGTCTCGAATCACCGCGCTCAGCTGTAATCAAAGCTTATAAGCGGCAGGATAGCGCTTACGGGTTCTGATCACAACCGCGTTTGGGGAGGGGTGAACTTACGAGTTTTGTTTACTTGCGATAAAAGACACTTTTACGCAGTTTTTTCATGTAAACGTTCTGTTGGCATGTGGACGGTAAGCAGTAAAATGTGATGGTGTGAAAAAGTCAATTTCACAAATTTGTCACTTACGAGGTCTGATCCCGAGGGCATCGATATGATGATGTGTAGAAAAATGGTTGAACAATCGAAATTCGTCAAAATTGAATGTTCGATGAAAATTCGATTTTTGACTTGATTTCCCACCTGCATATCCCCTTAAGTTCAGCTAATCTGCGTATCACAATTCTAGACATTTTCTTTTTCACAGAAATTTAGCTTCAAATTTTTCACAAACACATTTTCAACACACACTTGTTTTTGAATCCCTTTCACTTTCATCTGAATAGCGTGCCTCTCTCTCAGAATGCACTTTTTCCAGTTTGAACACTATGCTACTGTCTGTGAAAATTAAATGTTCTATTTAAATTTAAGCTTTTCGTAACTGAATTTTTTACTGTTATATATGGAGAGCTAGGTTCTCTAACATGTTTTTGGTACTCAAGTTCTTGAAGTAGTCACATAATTGTACTTGTAGCCTGGATAAAGAGAGAAAAATATCAACAATTAGATTAACATTTCTTAGGCTTTTTGTTTAGCAGAGCTGATGAAGTAATAGGAGTTTACTGTAGTACATTTTGTACCGTTTCCGTATATATATATATATATCTGAAAGCCCCTGCATGAATAGGTATTGTTGTGAAGAGGAATAAAGTTTTCTTCGTTTACATTCTCCTTCACAGCCCCCACTGCCCTGCTGGCCCACGGGATTGCCAAAGGAAAGAAAGTGACCTCTCACCCTAGTGTGGCTGACAAGTTGTCTGGTCAGTGGTTGGTTTCTTGCAATAAAGAGTTTGTTTGGGTATTTTATTTTTAGCAGAGACAAAAAACTAGTCTTTTTTTGTGTTTTTCTAATCAGGAATTACAAAACAAGATAATCCTGAGCCAGACCATGTGTTAAACTATATTTGATTTTGTGTGCCAGATGTTGCTCAAAAACTAGGAAAAATTGACTTGAGTTGCCGAGGGGGAAAAAAGACTGTGACGTTCAACGTCCGGACGGCTAGTGCCCCCCCGACACGCACACACAGCCACACGTGTGCAGGCTGCCCATCTGACCCCGTCACACGCCAGAGTAGACACGTGCGCGTGCCAACAAAGCATGTGTTGGTATGAAAAAAGGCCACTGATTGGTCGCATGCAATCGGCTAAGTGAATAATGGTTCACAATGCAGGTGCAATGGATGGTTTCCGGGAATAGATAAAGTTCGTTCCGGGAGAAAAATTAGCGAAGCCACGTCTGCGGGGGCTGTTCACCCTGGAAGCGACCTCATTGAATCCGAGCTCGCTGATTTAAGTGCTCGTTGAATCCGGGTTACCCGGTACTTTTTTTATTTTAAAGAAGAAAAAAAACGGGGAATCTATCTCATCTCGTTGAATCCGAGCTTGTTAAATCCGAGTTCCACCGTACTAAAGCGTTGAATGGATGGGTGGGGTGGGGGCTGGGGGGACAGAAAGACAGTCAAAGCAATGATATGCACCATAAAAAGTCGGGAGCAGATAGCCTAAGAGGAAACTGTTGGTGATAGTCATAGCTGTCCCCGTCATTTTATGCGAGAAAAATTCTAAAATTATGCAAACTGAGCCCTAAAATGTGAAATTATGCGATTCTGATAATATTGACAAAGAATGTTAAAGGAAAATAATCAGAAATTATGCAAAAAATGATCAAATTTTGCTAAATTATGCAGGGTGCATAAAACCACGGGGACAGTCATAGAGACGACGGCCCAGCCATGTGGCTTTCCAAGCGACTACCCCCGACCGTAAATTCATGAACGACGTCAGAATCATAGATCTCTATATATTCAGAGAAACATTTCTCTTGTGATACGTTGAACAAGTACATTAGAAGTTCTTCGAGAGCAGCTGATTAGGCTTACTAATACTTGACTAATCTTTAATCCTATTGAGGCCTGCATATCTAATGTCCATCATTACAAGCAGTCACCAGTCAGAAACCTTCTCTCAAAGATGCATTTTCGATGACTAATCAAAAAACATTTCAGTCCCCTAACCCCCCAACATTTCACCGACCAGTCCTAGACCTAGGCCATGTGTCTGTGGAAAGTTGGGTGTGAAAACGCTGTCCGTCACTCACTTTGTTCGACATGAGGGGCAGTCTCACCAAATATCCGGTTTTCTAGGCTTGTCTTATGCAAGCTGTGCAGGTTGTAGTGGAAATTTCTCCCTGTCAAGCTTTACCTGTCGCCATGTTTCGCGGATCAGAGCGTGCGTTTAGAGGGAGTTACTGTGCGTTTGTACGTCTAAATTATACAGTAAAAAACCCGCCAGATGACGAAAGTGTGCGTTTGAGCAGAGCGTGCTTTTGTATGGTGTGCGTTTAGGTGGAGACTACTGTATTGGCCAAAGTTTCCCTCTGAATAACCATGTTATTTAAAAAATTTTTTTTACCCTGTTTACAGGCGACTATTCCTACTCTGAGGACCGTGTGGTGGTGGACGGTAAACTCATCACAAGCCGTGGGCCAGGAACTTGCTTTGAGTTTGCCTTGGCCATAGTGACGGAATTGATGGGCAAAGAGAAGGCGGAATCGCTGGTGGATCCCATGCTGGTCAAACTCTAAGTCTCAATTTGAATTAGTTCCCTTTGTTTGTTTTGGCTTTTGAGAGGCCTTGACCTTGAATGGGATAACGTTTTAATAAATTGATTTTAAATTCAAGTTGATCCACATCTTTGTGTTGGTACTCATATATATAATGCACCATTATTTGTTCGAGGTAGAGACCTTCCTCTGATGTTTTCTTTATCCTGTGACAGTCAGACTAATTGGGTTGTGTGGTTAGAGTTCAACTGAAAAATCATGTTTTTCAATGTAACTTTGTAACAACTTTATACTAGTTCTAGTACAATGGAATCCTGTTATAACGAGAGGGAGGGGACTGGTGCGAAATATCTGTTTAAAGCAGGATTCTCGTTATATATAAGGGATCCGGTAATAAATTCAAGTGAAATGATAAAGTTGGCACGTTCTGCTTGTCTGCGCATGCCACATCCTCCCCACTCATTCGCTCCGGCCTTCATTGTTGGCACACGTGAGCTCTCCCATTCTTTGTTTGGCGAGTTCACCTTGTTTCTCAACTGGCGGAGCTTTACGTATGTATAAATGGCCTATGCGCTGTGCACAGAAGCAGCAATATTCCGCTATAACCGACTTGCGTGTTTGATTGGGCTTAGATAGCAGTACAAAGATAAAGAAGGGAACAAACACGGTTTTAAAATAGTGTCTTTATAACAGACTTCTCGCTATTTCAGGACTCGTTATAAGTGGACTCCACCGTAGTACAATAAGTACTCTCGAGTTGTTATTTTTCGACACTATGTTAGTTTTGGGAAGATGATTTAGTTGACATTACCCAGCTCCCAGCCCTGCTTTGTTACCATTGTAAATTTGTATTTCTAATACATGTACTAGTAATACACATTATTTTTACATATGTCTTTGAGAGGAACATGTTTGATGTCTGGTGCTGAAGTAATACAAATCTTCTATCTTCCTCACTAGTGAGGGGCCTGCTTCAATGGAAATTTTAGTTTCTTTACTGGAACTTCTATTTTCTTGGTCTTGTGTTATTTGAAGAATGGTGGGTCCCCCACTTCTTTACTGTTCAGTGCGATACTTGGCCTTGTCTTTCGTTGTTACTGACACTGACAGTAGACTTACTTTCATGTTACCATACAAAGTTGAATAAAATTTGTCAAACAAGTGAATAGAACAGCCTTTATTTTTTTTCTTTTTGTATTCTTAGTAGTAGTAGTAGTAGTAGTAGTAGCACAGTGGTTATTATAGCACTAGTAGTAGTAACAGTCTGTTATGTTATAACAAGATTTCACCATAGTTAGAGAACAGGAAAGGAGGTGAAAGGAGAAATTTTTCTAGAGAAGAAAATTTTCAATCACTGTCAGGTTTCGAACCTGAATGAGAGGCAAACACAGTTTCTCTTGACCACGAGAGCCCCTAGTGAACTGTTTGAACCTGTTTTGAGCCAGTGGGGCAATAAAGCAGCCTCTCATACCATGAAAAAACTATTGTGTTGCCCTCAATCTGACCCACCGAGTTCCCCCCAATATAATACTACACACATCCTGGCATGTACACCCAAAACATACACACCACAAATCCTGTAACTCCACCTGGGTCACGTGACATGCAGCTACAAGCAACAAACAAAATCAATTTTGAGGAAAAGTTTTGACCTACTCCCTGCAAAAGATGGACATTGATGTAAATTGGACAGAAAAAACAGGTTGGAAGCAAGCCTTTGCTTTACAATATATAGCTGTGAAAGAGTATTCCAACAACCCTTTTACATTTAGCAAGATCATTGACCGATAATTGGATCAGTCCAAAAGCTTGTTTTGCCTCTTTTTTTTCCAACAGAAAACAGCAGAGCACAAACGCAAGCAATTTCCTCCACATCTATTAAATATAATGTTTGAAATAGATCTAGAGAAAACGAGCAAAATTAATTAAGACAGTTGTATCTAAGCGCAGTTCAAGTTTGCAACAAAACTGACTAGATAGACTAAAGACAGATTTGTCAGGTGCGGTACAAATGCATCGGTACTGGCCTTGTACTTTACTTTTACACAAGACCGTAACCTTAAGGCTTGGTATTTGTCCCCTCAACTTCATCAACCTAAAGCACCCATGCTTATTTAGTATAGTGGAACTCGGATTCAAAGAACTCACAAAAATTCAGATTCAACAAAAGGAGTACAATTTTCCAGATTTCTTCGGTATGGCATCAAAGAAACGAAAATGCCTCTCATTTGAAATCAAACTACTTTAAATTGAGGAAGTCGAATATGTTATACAAAACTTGCTCGTTGTCTGTAATTATCTACACAAAAACTTCATGTTTGCTATATTTATAAATACGAACTCTCTGGTCAACTAAATTGAAGGTCAGGCCGGACGACTGTTGAATCAGAGTTGCACTGTACCGGTACATATATCAATTTTTAAAAAAAATGTTTAATGAATGCGATACAACATCCCAGCAGAAACACGATAAAAATATTCTCCCCACTCAGGAATCGAACTCAGGTCTCCTGTATGTAACACAGTGAAGCGCCCAACCGCTAAACCGCAGATGCCAATGTACTTGACTTTTTCTTACTACAGTGGAGTCCACTTATAACGAGTCCGGAAAAAACGAGAAGTCTGTTATAAAGGCACTATTCAAAAACCCTGTTTTTTTCTCCTCTTTACCTTTGTAAATAAAATACTGCTATAGCGCTATCAGACAAACATGCGAGTCGGGTATAGCAGAATATTGCTGCTGCTGTGCACAGTGCATAGGCCAATTATACATAAACTTGTTGGTGATCTTGCGAAACAAGGAATATGAGAGCCTATGTGTGTCAACAATGAAGGCCGGAGCGACTGAGTAGGGAGGGTGTGGCAGACAGAATGCACCACAGGGTGTGGTGGGGTGAGGGAAAACACAGCGGGCGAATTAGCCCAGAGCTCTTTCTTTCTGATCGCCAACGCGAGCTGTCAGTCCACAACGCTAGGTCTAGCGCTAGAGAAAGAAACCTGATTCGATTTATGATCAAGTAAAAACTAAAGGTCATGTTGAAACAAAATCTTCATCAGGGGAGATGGCAAAAGGAAATAAACAGAACACTAAACCTATAGGTTAGGCCTACTTTACAGTTTCCCTTGAATTTATTACTGGATCCTTTATAGCGAGAATCCTGCTATAATGGACATTTTGCTCCGGTCCCCTCCCTCTCGTTATAACAGGATTCCACTGTACTATCTCAGAGTCAAACTGAAGATGAAACAAAAATTTTGTGTATTCAGAAATGCCTTTAAGTTAAGGCCAAAGATTAAGATAAAGTGTTTCCAAGTGCTGGACATTTTCAGTGGTCCCTCAACAAGACATTACCGGTCAAGTGGCATGGTTGTCTAATGGCATGGATAAAATAGAGCTAACTGGTTCTATTCCAAGGAGACATAGGTCCAGCATTGCCTCATGACCCATGAAAGTTGCCTCTCACTGTCAATTTCAACCCTGCCCTTTGTGTAAACTAAAGACAAGCTCTTACTTTGACAAGAGGAGCAAGTTTATGTCAGAGTTAATAAAGTATTTGAAGCTCGGGCAGAATATTGAAGTTGGCGTTCATATGACCTTATGCAGTTGCGAGTGCAGTAAAACCTCTACTAAAACAAAGCAAATATATTGAAGCTTGTCTTGTTTGAGGCAGTGAAGTGGCGATATCATGTCGGCTGAGACTGAGTAGTAGTAGCTATAGTGCGGTCAAAAATTCGTGGCACAGCTTATCCTCAAATATCTCTTTAACCGGTGAATCAATGTCATCCATACTTTGAACAGCAGTTTGTTTCAATTTGTCTTAACGAAATCATATTGGGGCTAGATTAAAAAACTTTTCTTCATAAATTTGTATAAAATACTTGAAATCTCTGTCTCACATAAAATGGTATTTCACAGCACTTCCCGCTTCTCACACACATTTACGTATATGGCCTACGTCACAGCTCATCAATGACACTTTTTACTAACAAAACTTGTTACAAGAAATCATTTTTATAGCGAACACAGTTTTTGCACTAATGCTTCTCAAAACAGGCGTTCATAAGCATAAAGTCCGGAATAGAAAGACATGACGAACTTGCTATTAAAAGCAATATTGCCCGAGCTGTAAACATTTAAAAATCTGTAGAAACCACGCACTTGGATTTTTTATTAGTATTTATGTAAAGAATTTTCTAGAATACAGCTAGCAGGCGTTTACAAAAATATTGATCTGTTAAGACAAATTGATACAAGTCATAGCACAAAAATTGGAGAACTTATGTTCAATAGTTGAGATATTTGACATTGTCGCGTCACGAATTTTTTGCCACAGTAGTAGTATACTGTGCAAATCATATCAGTGAACAAAACAAATTGAATTGAAAAGTTCAATCGGTTTATTTATTACATGCGGAAACGTATAACATTTCATTTCCGATACTTCACAAGGTCTGACATGAATCACCACAGCCAATTCATTCAAAAATGTTTGGAAAGGTGACCCTGTAGACTGGTAGTATCGTACCACAATCACAAAGTATCCATATGACCTTAGAGAGCATGCATCAGAATAACATTGAGCTGAAGATGATTATTGTTAATATTGCTCCTCATTTATATTATGCATGTGATCGTAAGCCTGGTTGTGTGCGCATGTTTGTGTGTGTATGTGTGGGTGTGCACGTGGTGGAACACCGAACCAATGTGCCAGGATCTGGAAAATAAAGATGTATCTTATATTTGATAGATCACTCCAACAGGTCCCTCACATTGATTGTTTGATAAATCGCCTCAACACCTACAACTACAGTAATAGGTTGTATTGAAATGGCATTACAGCAAATTCATACTTTCAAAATGTTTGAAACAACAGTACAACAGCTTCACACTTTCAAATAGCATCATGAGAAATTTATTACATCAGAACCAACTCAATTACGAGGAGTTCATAACTCTTGACGTGTTGCTACAACAGATTCAGTTCACCTGATTTGACATAAGAGTAACGCTATGACTGGTTCAGTTCACCTGATTTGACATAAAAGTAACGCTATGACTGGTTTATTTCATCAACTAAGCTGCTATGCAAACTTTGAAAGAAAGAGAGTGTGGAGCTCTCATGCTGGTAAGATTTTAAAACATTCAAGGCTGAACTTTACCTTACTTTTAAAATGAAATACATGTATCTCTACTATTTCACAAAGGTAGTAGAGATAATTTCCACCTTCAAGTTGAAGATTTGAAAATCTTACTGCCATACATGCTCCATATTTTCCATCTATTAAGTCAAGCTTTAAAAAAAAAAAAATGGACTTGGAATGATTGGAGGCTTACCTTTAAAAAAGGGCAAAGCTCAGACAGTTTTTTTGGCAAATGGTGTTTCCGACAGAATTGTCAGCGGAACATACATACAATTAAGGCTGTTCATAAGTTTTCAATGTATACTTTTTTTCTGCTCAATTTTTGATAAAGAAGGAAAACAAGGATTTGTATTTCTTTCAGCAGAATCCATGTTTTACTGCTGTATTATACTGATAGTGTGGACAGTTTAGTAAGTAAACCGTGCGGCTGAGCACATCCTACCTTCTCGCCCCTCAGGTTTATCGATGGGGAGATATTGGGTGGCTCATAACTGTGCAGTCAGGCAGTTTTGATACTCTTTCTAGTTTTTTTGGAAACAAAAGAACTTTACTATGATTACTTATGTATCTTTACTACGATACCTTTGTGAAATAGTAGAGATACATGTATTTCACTTTAAAAGTTAGGTAAACTTCAACCTTGAATGTTTTAAAATCTTACCAGCATGAGAGCTCTATACTCTCCTTCTTTCAAAGTTTGCATAGAAATAAGTTGGTGAAATGAATAATTGAGTTGGTTCAGATGTAATAAAGGCTACACAGGGATCTTCATCTGATGATGAAACCCTTGTTTCCCATTCTCATGCTGATGGAGAAAAGAAATAGAATTCAAGCGTAAAATCACATCATGCATAACACAAGTAGTGATATAATAAGAAGCTGGATAAAAATACAATTGCCATACGTTGTTTTTCTGTTGAGGCTATGTAAATATCTCTTTCAACAGCTTATATTTAAAACAAAGATACAACATCTAATAATATTATGCGGTCGAAACATGCATTTATAGCTTACAAACATGTACAGAAATAAAAAATAAATATAAGCACGTGCAAAGGCACAATTTATTTCATCTCATACATTGATATATTCATTTGATCATTTTATCTAATGAATTCAGAATAGGTTACTAAATTTCAAGACACTATTTAAAGAATCACAATAATAAATGGCATATATATATATATATATAATATGCACAAGCCTGACTACTTATTCTTTGTTTCCAGTAGATATATATGATGAGCTTTTGCCAATAGGTGGGTACCCAAAATGTAGCCCAGAGGGTTCATGATAAAGTTTTTAATATTTCGTTTTTACTTGAGTTTTTCTGTTCATGTATATCTCCTACAAAACATGTATTTAACAGACCTAGAGACAGCATGCTAAGCTGTATAACTGGCGTTACATAACATCAAGTCAAATTTTTTCGAACATAACTATGAAGAGACATTTTTTAAGAATTTGTACATATATACAAAATTATTTTAACAGTCTTCTTATTGTTTTAATTTTCAAACATAAGCATATAAAATGGTGAGGATCAGAGAAACAAGAAATTCTTAATGCCATTGTGTTTGCGCAACCAAATCTCTGTGTCTCCATGCCCACCCTTTCGTCAAATCCGTTGCCACTTATGAGGAGTCCAAAAATGCCAGCTATGGGTATAGGGCGTCACAATTATCATCCATCGCTGAGTGCAGTTTTTCCGTCTTAGCAACACAAGTCCATTCTTCCTCCATTAGCTTATTCCAACGGATGATCCAAAGCCAGAACCAACTCTAATCCTCAAGAGCCTCATTTCCATCATGATGTACTTGGTACCATTTCCTCGTCCTCTTTACTTTCACCTGTAGGAACATGCTTTGATAAAGCACACATACATACAATATGCACACAGTGATGTACGATTTGCTTTGACATCTCAGATTAATTGCTATTAACAATCAATTGCATAATGGACGCCAGAGTAACTTAAACCAATTTTATAAATAAAAATGTCTCTTCGACAGTTAAATTTTTTTTTCTAAATTACAACCAACAATGACATGATTGGACCTTTAACAATGTTCCATCTTTCAGTTTCACACTTTGCAAAACTGTATCATAGATATGGCTAGCTCCGCTAACCTCATGCTCAATTGAGCAGTTCTGTTTGGTCCGCTTCAGTCACTTTCAGTCACTTAAGCTCACCTGTCCCATTAACACACATCTCTTTCAAAACTACAGTAAACAGATCTTCAATTATTACAACCTAAGAAGGAAATTGCTACAAAGAACACATACCTACCATTAACAGATAGTTTTTTAACTTTAAATCAGTAAACAATGATGGGATCATACAGACAATCAGAATCTCAACCCACGATTTCTTTAATTGTCCAATGTTCCACACTCCAGAGGTGCATCACCGATACAGGCTAGTTCCACTTTACTTCACTTGAGTTGAGCAATATTGGTCAAGGTTCACTTTGGTTAAATGCACATACTTTATCTTTCACATCTTTAGTGTACGTGTCTTGATTCATTGAATACCTTAGGATGAAACTTTTACAAAAAACACATCCAAAATACACACACACCATTTATTACTACATTTACTTTCATCTTTACAAATGATGGAAAAGAAAAATGCATTCTTACTTTAATTTGGGGGGGGGGGGGGTTATGTTCATGTCGTGCCTGTTTATGATTATTGCATCATAGGCACTAACAAACTCAACCTCACTATGAAAATCGAGAATCCTTGTCTTAGCAGCGTCTGTAGTCTATCTGTAGCATGTCATCAAGGGTCCTCTTTCCTTTATAAAACGTGTCTTCCTTCATCACGGACACTAGGCAAGGGTCCACTATGGTCAAACGCAGTTACAAAAAGCCCATCTTTCTTCGCCACACAATCTTTCACATCTTTAATGTACGTGTCTTCCCCCATCGAATACCTTAGGAAGAAACTTTTACAAAAAACACATCCAAAATGCACACACGCCATTTATTCTTATTTTTACTCTCATCTTTACAAATGATGCAAAACAAAAATGCACGCTTACTTTAACTTTAATTGTGGGGAAAAAGAAAAACATAGGCAATAACAATCTCAACTCACTACGAAAATCGGGAATCCTTGTCTTAGAGTGTCTGTAGTCTATCTGTAGCATGTCATCAAGGGTCCTAAGCCTCAGTCACTTGTGTGGCTTGTATTTCTGCTCTGCCTCTCTCCAATATTCCATACTCCACCGACAATAGGCTAGTTCCCCTACACTCCATTTGAGTTGAGCAATACGTGTCCACTTTGGTCAAACGTCGACAAAAGGGCCCATCTTTCTTCGCCACACTCTCTAGTGAACGTGTCTTCATTCATCAAATACCTTAGGATGAAACTTTTACAAAAAACACATCCACAATGCATACACACCATTTATACTTATTTTTACTTTCATCTTAAGAAAAGATGGAAAAGAAAAATGCACGGTTACTTTACTTCTCGGGGAATAGAAAATCAGTTCAGGTCGTGCCTGTTTATGATTATTGCATCGTAGGCACTAACAATCTCAACTCACTACGAAAATCGGGAATCCTTTTTCAAGCATTGTCTGTAGTCTATCTGTAACATGTCATCAAGGGTGCTAAGCCTCAATCACTGGTGCGGCTTGCATCTCTGTGGCGCCTTTTTCCAACGTTCCACACTCCAGAGGTGCATCACGGACACTAGGCAAGGGTCCGCTATGGTCAAACGCAGTTACAAAAAGCCCATCTTTCTTCGCCACACAATCTTTCACATCTTTAATGTACGTGTCTTGCCCCATCGAATACCTTAGGAAGAAACTTTTACAAAAAACACATCCAAAATGCACACACGCCATTTATTCTTATTTTTACTCTCATCTTTACAAATGATGCAAAACAAAAATGCACGCTTACTTTAACTTTAATTGTGGGGAAAAAGAAAAACATAGGCAATAACAATCTCAACTCACTACGAAAATCCTTGTCTTAGCAGTGTCTGTAGTCTATCTGTAGCATGTCATCAAGGGTCCTAAGCCTCAGTCACTTGTGTGGCTTGTCTTTCTGCTGTGCCTCTCTCCAATATTCCATACTCCACCGACATTAGGCTAGTTCCCCTACACTCCATTTGAGTTGAGCAATACGGGTCCACTTTGGTCAAACGTCGACAAAAGGGCCCATCTTTCTTCGCCACACTCTCTAGTGAACGTGTCTTCATTCATCAAATACCTTAGGATGAAACTTTTACAAAAAACACATCCACAATGCATACACACCATTTATACTTATTTTTACTTTCATCTTAAGAAAAGATGGAAAAGAAAAATGCACGGTTACTTTACTTCTCGGGGAATAGAAAATCAGTTCAGGTCGTGCCTGTTTATGATTATTGCATCGTAGGCACTAACAATCTCAACTCACTACGAAAATCGGGAATCCTTTTTCAAGCATTGTCTGTAGTCTATCTGTAACATGTCATCAAGGGTGCTAAGCCTCAATCACTGGTGCGGCTTGCATCTCTGTGGCGCCTTTTTCCAACGTTCCACACTCCAGAGGTGCATCACGGACACTAGGCAAGGGTCCGCTATGGTCAAACGCAGTTACAAAAAGCCCATCTTTCTTCGCCACACAATCTTTCACATCTTTAATGTACGTGTCTTCCCCCATCGAATACCTTAGGAAGAAACTTTTACAAAAAACACATCCAAAATGCACACACGCCATTTATTCTTATTTTTACTCTCATCTTTACAAATGATGCAAAACAAAAATGCACGCTTACTTTAACTTTAATTGTGGGGAAAAAGAAAAACATAGGCAATAACAATCTCAACTCACTACGAAAATCGGGAATCCTTGTCTTAGCAGTGTCTGTAGTCTATCTGTAGCATGTCATCAAGGGTCCTAAGCCTCAGTCACTTGTGTGGCTTGTATTTCTGCTCTGCCTCTCTCCAATATTCCATACTCCACCGACAATAGGCTAGTTCCCCTACACTCCATTTGAGTTGAGCAATACGTGTCCACTTTGGTCAAACGTCGACAAAAGGGCCCATCTTTCTTCGCCACACTCTCTAGTGAACGTGTCTTCATTCATCAAATACCTTAGGATGAAACTTTTACAAAAAACACATCCACAATGCATACACACCATTTATACTTATTTTTACTTTCATCTTAAGAAAAGATGGAAAAGAAAAATGCACGGTTACTTTACTTCTCGGGGAATAGAAAATCAGTTCAGGTCGTGCCTGTTTATGATTATTGCATCGTAGGCACTAACAATCTCAACTCACTACGAAAATCGGGAATCCTTTTTCAAGCATTGTCTGTAGTCTATCTGTAACATGTCATCAAGGGTGCTAAGCCTCAATCACTGGTGCGGCTTGCATCTCTGTGGCGCCCTTTTCCAACGTTCCACACTCCAGAGGTGCATCATGGACACTAGGCAAGGGTCCGTTATGGTCAAACGCAGTTACAAAAAGCCCATCTTTCTTCGCCACACAATCTTTCACATCTTTAATGTACGTGTCTTCCCCCATCGAATACCTTAGGAAGAAACTTTTACAAAAAACACATCCAAAATGCACACACGCCATTTATTCTTATTTTTACTCTCATCTTTACAAATGATGCAAAACAAAAATGCACGCTTACTTTAACTTTAATTGTGGGGAAAAAGAAAAACATAGGCAATAACAATCTCAACTCACTACGAAAATCCTTGTCTTAGCAGTGTCTGTAGTCTATCTGTAGCATGTCATCAAGGGTCCTAAGCCTCAGTCACTTGTGTGGCTTGTCTTTCTGCTGTGCCTCTCTCCAATATTCCATACTCCACCGACATTAGGCTAGTTCCCCTACACTCCATTTGAGTTGAGCAATACGGGTCCACTTTGGTCAAACGTCGACAAAAGGGCCCATCTTTCTTCGCCACACTCTCTAGTGAACGTGTCTTCATTCATCAAATACCTTAGGATGAAACTTTTACAAAAAACACATCCACAATGCATACACACCATTTATACTTATTTTTACTTTCATCTTAAGAAAAGATGGAAAAGAAAAATGCACGGTTACTTTACTTCTCGGGGAATAGAAAATCAGTTCAGGTCGTGCCTGTTTATGATTATTGCATCGTAGGCACTAACAATCTCAACTCACTACGAAAATCGGGAATCCTTTTTCAAGCATTGTCTGTAGTCTATCTGTAACATGTCATCAAGGGTGCTAAGCCTCAATCACTGGTGCGGCTTGCATCTCTGTGGCGCCTTTTTCCAACGTTCCACACTCCAGAGGTGCATCACGGACACTAGGCAAGGGTCCGCTATGGTCAAACGCAGTTACAAAAAGCCCATCTTTCTTCGCCACACAATCTTTCACATCTTTAATGTACGTGTCTTGCCCCATCGAATACCTTAGGAAGAAACTTTTACAAAAAACACATCCAAAATGCACACACGCCATTTATTCTTATTTTTACTCTCATCTTTACAAATGATGAAAAACAAAAATGCACGCTTACTTTAACTTTAATTGTGGGGAAAAAGAAAAACATAGGCAATAACAATCTCAACTCACTACGAAAATCCTTGTCTTAGCAGTGTCTGTAGTCTATCTGTAGCATGTCATCAAGGGTCCTAAGCCTCAGTCACTTGTGTGGCTTGTCTTTCTGCTGTGCCTCTCTCCAATATTCCATACTCCACCGACATTAGGCTAGTTCCCCTACACTCCATTTGAGTTGAGCAATACGGGTCCACTTTGGTCAAACGTCGACAAAAGGGCCCATCTTTCTTCGCCACACTCTCTAGTGAACGTGTCTTCATTCATCAAATACCTTAGGATGAAACTTTTACAAAAAACACATCCACAATGCATACACACCATTTATACTTATTTTTACTTTCATCTTAAGAAAAGATGGAAAAGAAAAATGCACGGTTACTTTACTTCTCGGGGAATAGAAAATCAGTTCAGGTCGTGCCTGTTTATGATTATTGCATCGTAGGCACTAACAATCTCAACTCACTACGAAAATCGGGAATCCTTTTTCAAGCATTGTCTGTAGTCTATCTGTAACATGTCATCAAGGGTGCTAAGCCTCAATCACTGGTGCGGCTTGCATCTCTGTGGCGCCTTTTTCCAACGTTCCACACTCCAGAGGTGCATCACGGACACTAGGCAAGGGTCCACTATGGTCAAACGAAGTTACAAAAAGCCCATCTTTCTTCGCCACACAATCTTTCACATCTTTAATGTACGTGTCTTCCCCCATCGAATACCTTAGGAAGAAACTTTTACAAAAAACACATCCAAAATGCACACACGCCATTTATACTTATTTTTACTCTCATCTTTACAAATGATGAAAAACAAAAATGCACGCTTACTTTAACTTTAATTGTGGGGAAAAAGAAAAACATAGGCAATAACAATCTCAACTCACTACGAAAATCGGGAATCCTTGTCTTAGCAGTGTCTGTAGTCTATCTGTAGCATGTCATCAAGGGTCCTAAGCCTCAGTCACTTGTGTGGCTTGTATTTCTGCTCTGCCTCTCTCCAATATTCCATACTCCACCGACAATAGGCTAGTTCCCCTACACTCCATTTGAGTTGAGCAATACGTGTCCACTTTGGTCAAACGTCGACAAAAGGGCCCATCTTTCTTCGCCACACTCTCTAGTGAACGTGTCTTCATTCATCAAATACCTTAGGATGAAACTTTTACAAAAAACACATCCCCAATGCATACACACCATTTATACTTATTTTTACTTTCATCTTAAGAAAAGATGGAAAAGAAAAATGCACGGTTACTTTACTTCTCGGGGAATAGAAAATCAGTTCAGGTCGTGCCTGTTTATGATTATTGTATGTAGGCACTAACAATCTCAACTCACTACGAAAATCGGGAATCCTTTTTCAAGCATTGTCTGTAGTCTATCTGTAACATGTCATCAAGGGTGCTAAGCCTCAATCACTGGTGCGGCTTGCATCTCTGTGGCGCCTTTTTCCAACGTTCCACACTCCAGAGGTGCATCACGGACACTAGGCAAGGGTCCGCTATGGTCAAACGCAGTTACAAAAAGCCCATCTTTCTTCGCCACACAATCTTTCACATCTTTAATGTACGTGTCTTGCCCCATCGAATACCTTAGGAAGAAACTTTTACAAAAAACACATCCAAAATGCACACACGCCATTTATTCTTATTTTTACTCTCATCTTTACAAATGATGCAAAACAAAAATGCACGCTTACTTTAACTTTAATTGTGGGGAAAAAGAAAAACATAG